TAACTGGCTGATGTTCATGCCAGCAAAACCCTCTAATCTCTGCAGCTTTTTGCGGATATCGGGTGCCGACTGAGCCACGAAAGCCATATTAACCATTCACTGGCTATCTGGACTCTCAGGGTCAAAAGGAATGTATATTCTGTATGCTTCAGTTAGTCGTTCTAAGAAATCCCCTGGGCTTTCATCTGTCCCTTGCATTATATTTGAAACCTTAGCCATGTTGGTAGGTTTTCTGGCTCTGGCCCTGATCCCTTGCAGGATGGCCTCCCGATATCAGTCAAGAGCTAGTCTCCCTTGCTCAGTGTTATGGTCCCAGTCTGGCTGAACTTCTGGAGCCGCCGCTCGACCGTACTGCGTGGGATCGACAGTACCTGCCGGGGCATGGGTTTCAAGATATCGATGGGCCTCCTGCAAAATCTTGCGCCTCTCCTCCGTGTTAAATAGCGTTAACAGGAGCTGGCGGCAATCATACCAAGTGGGCCGGTGAGTCTGCACTATAGATTCCATTAAATCAATCAGAGCCTGCGGTTTTTCCGAGTATGAGGGCGTGTGGTGCTTCCAATTAAGGAGATCAGTGGTGGTGAATGGCTGGTAATAAAACACCACAGGTCCCGGCCTAAATGTCCCATTGTCTGCCACCTGCCCGTGCCCCTGAGCCTCTCTTAGTGGCATGTGATAAGCTTGGTGATGCCTTAGCCGGGTCGCAATCGGCGATGGAGCAGTTTCCAAGAGCCTTCTCGGGGCCCCCTCCTCCCTCTGTGGAGCCTCCTCCGGTGGGGGCGACACTGATGCAGGAGGAGTGTCTAGTCTTAGCGGGGCAGTGGGAAGCCCCCCCCGTATGGCGGTGGAAAGAAGAGTTGGTCATCCTCGGGATGCCCGTGGTGGATCGGATGTTTTTGGCCCTTCCTAGCCACCAGGATCCGGGTTTGGGGTCCAGACTCCTTCTTTTGCCCTGCAGCGCCTAGATGTTTCGGAGCCGCTTTAGCACACTGCTGAAGCCACTTAGGCATATCCTGAGCTAACTCCTGCCACCTATCTATGTAAACATATTGATCTGGGTGTCCCGGCTTCCCGGTGACTATCAGGTGAACTGCTCTAATTATACTCAGATTAAGGGTGCCCTCAGGGGGCCAGCCTACTCCAAAAGAGGGCCACTCAGAGGTAAAGAAAATTTCCAATTGTCCTGGACTCATCGAGGAATCTTGTCCTCAAAACCGATCAAAATTCTGAAGCATACAATCTAAGACAGTTGAGGATCCAGCCCCCATGTCTCCCTCCCTTACAATGCAGACAAACAAAGGGTGAGGGGATCTTTCGCATGCCCGCCTGGCCTGACCTCTCTCGAGGATCTTAGGTGGTCTTAGCTAGAGGTTGCCCGTGTAGAATCTGGGTTAACAACCGTTATTCCATACGACCGACCCAGGAACCGCAGGTGAGGGCCCAATCAGACTCCGTAAGCTGGCTGGCTGGTGGAGTCACAAACACATTCACACAGACAGCCACACAGAAGTTAGCTGTCCCTCCCCCCGAGAAGGAGCCTGATGGTCTGGGTCTAAGCCCAGACCCCTGAATTTTCCGGTGGAGGAGTGATCAGTTCCTCTCAGATTCTCAGGGTCAGGTCCCTAGGGCACTTACCGATACCTGATTGGCGCCTCCGACAGTTCGTGGTTCGTCTCTCCCCTCTGCCCGGGTGTTAGAGTGGTTGGGGGACGCGGCACGGGAGTCTCTGCCCCTGGGAAGCCTGGAATCACCAGGGCACGTGCTCCTCCCCTGCGGCAGGGCTCCCCCGCTGACTCCCCCGGTCGCCTTCAATGGAGGCAAAATACCTGCTCGCGTGAGGACTTCCCGGCCAATGCACCAAAATGTTGCATAAATGTCACTCACACGCGAGGGGAAGATAATGAAGCACAAACTTTATTACCCGGGGAGGCTCAGAGGAGAATCCCAAATTCTGAGCCCAACCCAGGCTCATCGCAGTTCCTTTAAATATTTGTTATAGAGCAAAGAAGGGGCTGGGGGTCTTTCTGCTAAAGCAAGGGAGTATACAAAGGCAGAAGCGGAATGAAGATCAGCATTTCGGCCTTGAGATAGCGTTACCTAGCAACTCTATTAGGCTGCTCCTTACCTAAAAATAACTTTTACCCAGCTTTTGTCCCAACAAAACTTGCAGGTGTTACAAAGAGTAGAAAGCCCCTTTGTGAGACTTTCTACTTTATTTTCCTGCCACACAACCATCTGTCTCTGGCAAAGAGGAACCCTGCTGCTTTTTCCACTGGTTGTTATCTGTGTACTTTTGGGGCTCTGGTGTTCTATCTAGGCTGAGAATCCTAGCTTAGGGTTTAGACCCTACTCTTCTTAGGAGGATCCAATCAGCCACTTAATTATCCCGCTGGCACTTCTGCCTGTGGGCGCCCAGTCAGCCCTCTCACATCTCCAGTGCAGTCCTTACCAGACCAGTTGTGCCAAAGCTGGTTCTGTATGTCCAAAATTGTATGCTTCTCTCTGGCTATTGCTCTGTTGTTTATTCCGGGTGGTTTCTCCACAATTGAGTTATAATTCCAGATTGGCCTGGGAGGAGGTCAGTGTGACTTCCATTCACTCCTCAGCTGTCTTCCTTGTCCCCGCACACAGGACAGAACCCAGCTGGATGATCCTCAGTGCCATGCCGGGTCTGCATAGTTGTGGTTTGTGGCATCAGGGGTGGGCAGTGTGGGCAGCACATGAACCATTCAGAGCCCAACAAGTCGCCATGCCAGCTGCAGCACCCCTCCGGAAAGTTGGCACAGATGACGTAAAGCTGGCACTTACTGGGGCATGCTGTTGGGTGGCTGTGGCCACTAGAGGGATATGGGGCTGGCAACCAGCTGCAAGCTGAGTGCTCCAGGATTCTCTTCTTATAGGGCAGATGCACAATGATTTTTAACACACTACATAGGGGTGTCAAACTCATTTTCAGCAAGGACCACATCAGCCTTGCAATTGTCTTTGAAAGGCCAAACATAATTTTAGGACTGTAAAATTGGAACTACTCCTTAACAGTTAAGTGAGAGCTCAGTTCTGCTGCTGGATAGAAACAAGGTACTAGGCCAGATAAAATAAGGTGAAGGGCTGGATTCGGCTTGTGGGCCTTGTGTTTACCACCTGTGCACTATGAGATACCTAGCCAAAGCCACTTGCAGGAAAGGAAATATGGATAGGACAGAATAGATATGGCCACTAGGACTTATGAAAAAAAATATATAGACTAGATTCTTGAAGATAAGTCAGGGTATGATGACAAGACAGAGAGAACCAGCTCTGAAGAGATGCAAAGGGGCTGGATACCCAGGTAAAAAAAAAAAAAAGAAGAAGCTATTTAGGGGTTTTCTAAAGGTTGAATCTTATAAGTTGTCAATATTTAGAGGCCCATGATAGAAACAGCTTTATCAAAAGCATGACCCTAAATATCTAGACCAAACAGGACCTAATTCTTCTAGGAATCCCCCCTGCCAAAAAAAAAAAAACAAAACAAAAAACGGCAAACAAATGCAATGAACAGAAAAAAAGAACAAGGACTGGAACAAGCCAATGAGGACAGTGACTCTGAAGCTCAAGACTAGAGGAGTAGACCAAAGACTAGACAAGGGATGGGCAGCCAGGGAGTGTTCACTAAGCCTTTAAACTTCGCTCCAGATAACTGGCTCAGAGATAACACTATAGGACAACACAGCAAAAATAGCCAGGGTAGGATTACATAGTGTCCTATCTAGTGTGAAGAATGCAACAAAGGGTAATGAAAAAGCACTAGCAGTCTTTTACATAAATTCTGAAGACAGAGATTGTAGCCTAGTGGTAAGGAGCACACACTTGGGTAGGCAGTAGCAACCCCAAATTTAAATTTTGGCTCAGCATTTTATTGTAATGCAAATTTGGACAAGTTACTATTTCCTCTACAGAATAAGAATATCACTTGCCTTGCTAGGAGTATTATGAGTATTTAATTAAGTTATGTCTGCAAAGCATTAGCTATATGTGTTAAGTAAATAATAGCCATTATTATATCATAATAGAGAACCTGTAAAACAGTGTTGGCCAGGTAGGTTAGTTGGTTAGAGCATCATCATGATACACCAAGGTTGTGGGTTGTTTTTTTTTTAAACATTAATGTGTGGTCGCTTCTCATGCACCCATTACTGGGGACCTCGCCTTCAACCCAAGCATGTGCCCTGACTGAATCAAAACAGCAACCCTTTGGTTCACAGGCCAGTGCTCAGTCCACTGAGCTGCACTAGCCAGGGCAAGGTTGTGGGATTTAATTCCCAGTCAGGGCACATACAAGAATCAACCAATGAATGCCTAAATAAGTGGAACAACAAATTGATGTTTCTCTCTCAAAAATAAAAAAAAAATAAATAAAAAAGAACCTATATAGCTCCCAATTATAATATAAATAAATCCTATATATATAATGTACAGCATGGTGACTATAGTTAATAATACTGTATTGTGTATTTGAAAGTTGTTAAGAAAATAGATCTTAACAGTTCTCATTACAAGAAAAAATTTATAACAATGTATAGTGATAGATGTTAACTAGACTTATTGTGGTGATCATTTTTTAATATATAAAGTATTAGGTGATTATGTTATATACCTGATATTGATGCTATATACATCAATGAGTATCTCTATTAAAAAAGAACCTACATATTTTTAAAAAGCCTATACAAACCTAAGCAAGAAGAAGTTATGTTCCTGCAATTCATAAATTACATTTCTCTTTTGTACTCCACACATTGTAACCAGTTTCATATACTTTCTTTAAATAAAGGAAATACTGTTAGGGTGAGTACTTCAGGAATGACAGAGGGAAGTAGTTATAGACCTCATCATGTGATGGTTTGGAGACAAGCCCTTCCTTTCCCACACATTACCTCAAGGTAGTGCCAGGAAGAATCAGCTAAGCAGTCTTAGGTTTGAATCTGAGAAACTATTCCATAAAACCTTTTCTCCCCTCCCAGCAATTTACCTGTGGACTGGACCTGCGACATGTGACCATCATTGAGCTGGTGGGGCAGCCACCTCAGGAAGTGGGGCGCATCAAGGAACAACAGCTGTCAGCCAGTATCATCGAGGAGCTCAGGTCTAGGCTGGAGGGCCACAGGGAAAGGGTGGGAAGAAACCCTAAGTGAAACATTGGCAACAGGAAGATTATGGGAAAATCATCTACACTACTCTCTTGAGGCATCACTTGTGTTTGAACTCTTTGGGTGTATTAGTTAAGACCAAATTAGCCCTGACTGGATAATTCAGTTGGTTAGAGCATTGTCTCAATATGCCAAGGTTGTGGGTTCAATTCCTGGTCAGGGCACATATAATAATCAACCAATGACTCTGACTGGTGTGGTTTAGTTGGTTGGGTATCCTCCCATAAAGCAAAAGGTCACTGGTTGGATTCCTGGTCAGGGCACATGCCTGGGTTGCAGGTTTGGTCTCCAGTCCAGTCGGGGTGCAAGCAAGAGGCAGCTAATTGATGTTTCTCTTTCACATTGATGTTTCTATCCCTCTCTTTCTCCCTTCCCTCCCCTCTCTCTAAAAATAAATGAATAAAATCTTAAAATTAAATTAAATTTTAAAAAGAACCAAGTAATGAATGCATAAGTAAGTGGAACAAGTCAATGTTTTTCTCTCTGCCCCTCTCTCTCACAAGTCAATAAATTTTTAAAAATTTTTAAACCACAGAGTGGTAGAACATAATAACCAAATGGGGAGGGGCCTTAAAATACAAATGACCAGGCCCCATCCTAAACCACCCAGGACTACTTTTTATATATATATATATATATATATATATATATATATATATATATAAATAAGGAACCTCATGTGATTCTGAAACACAGCCAGGACTGATACACAGACCCAAACATGAGTCAGATAGGCCTCTCATCCTGTCACCTCATGGCCTTGCCTATTTGCCTTCAGATTTACTGCCTTCTCAAATAGGCAGTAGAATCTGAATCATACCTATCTGCTCCTGGGTGATGAACAGACTATACATGACAGATGGTGGAAATTGACTTTTCTCATTATTAATCCATTATCACCCTTCCAATGCCTCTACCTATACTCAGAGCTAATAAAGTCATCACTGCTCTCTGCTCTAGATATACTACCTGCTTCTAGGTCTTATTCTCAGTAGGGACAAAAAGATTCAAGCCCCATATAGGGTAAAGACTAAAAAACACCCAGAGGAAGAAGACTGAAGACTTGCAGCTACAGGTAGAAGAATTGACCAGGTGATATTGATTGACCTCAGAGCTTCCATGTATGTTTGTGCAAGTATGCCCAGTTCAACTCTAGAAAACACTAGTCACATCATAGTGCATGCAAATGGTGCTCCCTGGAGTTATTCCATGAAGTCTGCATTGCTATATATGGTAGCCCTAATCAAGAGGGTCTATGAGGGAAACACAGCCTGATAATAATGTAGCTGCTTCATCTGGAGTGAGGAGGTGACAGCTTAGCAGAGATAGACATTTAAGGGCAGCAAGTCTTGAGTCTGAGCAGAGAAAAACAATGGGGCTTGAGATAGGTAGTGAAGGGGATGGGGACAAAGGATCAGTTGAGGAAGTAATTAGTCCATCAATGGAGATGTGAAAAGTCAGAGGGTAGTAGAGCCTGGTGGGATGAAGTCAGGACAAAAATCTCATTCCTCCCTGGGCTCCTCTCTCTAGGCACTTCCAGCACCTTACTCGCTCCTACTTCAACATGGTGTTGATTGACAAGCAAGGGATTGACCGGGAACGCTACATGGAACCTGTCACCCCAGAGGAAATCTTCACATTCATTGATGACTACCTACTGAGCAATCAGGAGCTGACTCAGCGCTGGCAACAAAGGGACATGTGCGAGTGAACTTGAGTCAGGGCATGGTTAACATCAAGTGAAAAGCTCCCCTAGTTGGGTGAAACTGGGGCCTGATAAAAGGAGGAAATGGTTTCCCACAATTCTAGGGACAGCACTCTGAGGTGGGTGAGGTCACCAAACCTGAAACATTTCTAAGCACTTTTTTAGGGCTCTGTAATAGTTTCTATAAGTAAGCCTTTGCTTTAGATAGCACTGGAGGACCATAAGAAGCTAGGTAGGGACTGAGGAGAGGCCCCGGGCAGTGGGTTGGGGTAGAAGGTCTTTCTTTCCTATCCTGGGCCTCTCCGAGCCCTTCAGAGTCTTCCAGATAAGTAAATCCTAAATTCATTCACTAACTGGCTGTGCTTTGTTTTTTGTTGTTGTTGTTTTTTTTGTTGTTGTTTTTTTTTTTACATTAGTCAGCACTTAATAATATTGTCCAGCTATTTTATAAGCCATTATTCTTTGTGGCTCCTTTCTATATTTGGGGCTTATCAGATATACATAAACATTTAAATTAGTACCTTGGAACAATAAGTTTGAGGTTCTTTGTGTTGCAACATGTATAAAGTGTTTCTTGAAGTACCACCTGGAATGAACAGTGAGAGGCTTTATTTTTTGTGGCATAGTCAGTCCACAGCAATTCCTTCCCCTCCAAAATGAATAGAGCCATTCTAGAGTGGATCTTCTCTTCTTTTTGAACACGGAAATGAACAAGCTTATGAACAAGGCCTGGGTAATGTACAAGTCCAAGTTCCCAGTTACTTTGTTCCAAATACAGATTTTAAATTTTTATGGCATGGGGTACTTGTGTCTTAAGTTAGATATAAACAATCTTGGGTATCTTACAACAATTTTTAAAGAGAGTAAACAAAACATTGACCTCATGTTTAACTTCCATTCTGGAATGTAACACTCTTTTTAATTAAAGTATAGTTGACATACAATATTATATTATTTTCAGGTGTATATCAGAGAGTTCACTTTTACACATTTTATAAAGTAATCACCACAGAAAGTACACTATCCATCTTTCATCATACAAAGTTATTGGGATATTATTGACTATATGCCCTATGCTGTACTTTACATCCTCTTATTTATTGTAAATCTGTACCTCTTAATCCCTTTCACCTTTTTTACCATACCCCTACCACCCAAACTTCAGGAAGCTATCAGGTTTTCTGTATCCATGAGTTTGTTTGTTTTATTTTTTCATTTGTTTAGTTTTTTTAGATTCTTCATATTGTTTTAGTTTTTTTTAGATTCCATAAAACTTTTACTACTAGATCTCCCAATTTGGTAATTTCCATGTAAGTGAAATAATACAGTATTTGTCTTTCTCTGATTTATTTCACTTAGCATAATACCCTGTAGATCTATCCATGTTGTTGCAAATGGCAAGATTTCACTCTTTTTTAATGACAGAGTAATATTCCAGCATGTGTATTTCTGTGTATCCATTTCTTCTTTATTGATTCACCTATTGATGATCACTTACATTGATTCCATATCTTGGCCATTGTAAATAATGATGCTGTGAACATAGGGATGCATATATCTTTTTTAGATCAATTTTTAATTTTATTTGAATACTTTTTATTTTTATTGTTCAAGTACAGTTTTCTGCCTTCCTTATCTCCCTCCCATTTATACCCCCCTTGTAATTGTCTATGTGTCCTTTACAGTTAGTTGTTCCTGTAAACCCTACACCCTTTTCCCCCATTCTCCCCTCCCTTCTCCCTTCTGGTTACTGTCAGCTTGTTCCCAATTTCAATATCTTTGGTTATATTTTGCTTGCTTGTTCGTTTTCTTGATTAGGTTCCAGTTAAAGGTGAGATCATATGGTATTTGTCTTTCACTGCCTGAATTATTTCACTTAGCATAATCTTTTTAATTTAGCATTTTGTTTTCTTTAGCTAAGTGCCCAGAAGTAGAATTGGTGGATCCTTCTTTGTCTCTTCTTATAGCCTTTGTTTTAAACTCTATTTTGTCTGATAAAGTACTGCTATAATTTGTCTGAAAGTACTGCTAGCTGAGCTTTTTTTTGTACCCATTCTCTTGAAATATCTTTTCCATCCTTTTACTTTCAGTATGTGTGTATCTTCCAATATGGAGTCTCAGGTAGGCTGCATATGTAAGGGCCTTTTTTTTTCTTTTATCCATTCAGTCACCCTATGTTTTTTCAATGGAGCACTTAGTCAATTTACATTTAAAGTAATTATTGAATGATATTTACTTTTTGGCACTTTGTTTTCATGCTAGATTTATAAGTGGTTAGTCTACTATCTTTACTACATGTTTGCCTTTACTAGTGACATATTTTATTTCATATATTTTCTTATGATGTGGTGGATCCTGGCTGGCAGGATCCATGTATGTTGTGGCTGCTCATGAACAAATACACACAGATAACAGAAGTCCTGTGGAGAAAAAGGGATGACATGGCCACTATCTGAGAGAGAGTGGGTGAGAGGACCAGAGAACCCAGTCCCTGCCTGGCAAGAATTTTATTGCTTCTCTGGGTACATTACATGGAGGGTGGTCCTCATTTACTATGCACAGGTTCACTTCAGGGGACTGCCTTTTACAGATAACAAAGGAAAGAATGCTGCTAATTACTTCAAAGAGAAGAGTGTTGCAGATCAGGGGAAAAGTGGTTGAACTGGTCACACTCCATACTTGGGATGTTTAGCTCAGATTTTAGGAAGTTGCATTAAGCCCTTCCTGCCTCAATTCAGGGTGAGGGAGTTTTAGCAAAAGCAAGACTCATAGCAGTCTAGGCACAATGCAGGCCTGATCCCCCATGGGAAAACCTCTCTGTGGGCATGGTCCTGCATGCCACTCACTCCCCACTGGTTTTCCACGTGGAGGCTGAGCTACAATTCCACACCATGAGAAGCGGTTCCTTACATTCTTATTTCTAGTTTTAACCTTTTCTTTTCCACTAAAAGAATTTCCTTTAATATTTCTTGTAATTCTGGTTTAGTGATGATGAAGTTCTTTAGCTTTTGCTTGTTTGGGAAAATCTTGATCTTTCCTTCAGTTCTAAATGATAACCTTACTGGGTAGAGTATTCTTGGTTATAGGTTTTCCCCTTTCATCGTGTTGAATACATTGTGCTACTCCCTTCAGGGTGTGGAAAGTTTTTGTTGAAGTCAGCTGACAATCTTATGGACATTCCCTCGTATGGAACTCATTGTTTTCTTCTTGCTGCTTTTTAAGATTCTCTCTTTAATCTTTAACTTTTAACAATTTATTTATAATGTGTGTTGGCATGGGTCTCTCAATACATCTTGTTTGGGAATCTCTGTGCTTCCTGGACTTGGATGTCTGTTTCCTTCACCAGGTTAGGGAAATTTCCAGCCATTATTTCTCCGAATAAGTTTTTCATCCCTTTCTTTCTCCTCCTTCTGGGCCTCCTATGATTTGTATGTTATACACTTTGGGATGTTGTCCAATAGGTCCTTTATGCTATCGTAATTCTCTTTAACTCTTTTTTCTTTTTGATCTCCCAATTTGGGATTTCCACTAACCTGTCTTCATGATTGTTGATCTGATCTGTTGATTTCCTGCAGTATATATTTCATTTTAGTTATTATATTCTTCAGTTCTGACAGGTCCCTTTTTATCATTTTTATCTCTTTGTTGAAGTTCTTAGTTATCCACTTGTCTTCAGAGTTTAATGAGCATCTTTATGACTATTAATTTGAACTTTTTATCTAGTAGATAGCTTACCTTAGTTTCAGAACTCCTTTCTGGGGTTTTGTACTGTTTTTTTTCTTTGTTGTTGTTATTGTTTGTTTGTTTGTTTGTTTGGAACATATTCTTTACTTTCTTCATTTTGCTGTCTGTTTTGGATTAGGTAAAACAGCTAAATCTTCTCGTCCTGAAGAATTTGACTTATTTATAAGGTATTCTGTGGGGCCCTGTGTTGGACTCCCCCTTGACACCAAAGCCAGGTGCTCCAGAAATGTTTCCTGGGTGGACTAGTGTGGCCTCTTATGTGGCTGGGTCACAACTTCTATAGACACATTGGGAGGCAAGGCTGGTCCCTGGTCCACTGGCTGTGATGCCTGGTCACAACTGTTGCAAGCTCATTGGTATGCAGGGCAAGCCTTCCATGTGGCTGGCTGTAAGACCCAGCCATGCTGTTGCAGACACACTGCTGTGTGCTGGTGCCAACTGAGGACACCCACTGTGTGTGGCAGGGCAAAAGCTGCTTTGGAGGGGTATTAGCCTGGGTGGGTCCTCAGGGAAATGCCAGACTGGGCTGAACAATGTTAACAAGGTTAATGGAGAGCATCAGAATTGTTGCCTGCCAGTGTCAGACCAGCTAGGTTAAAGAAAGGGGGAAAATGGTGCCTGCTAACACCTTTGACTCAAAGAAAATTTCCAACAGATACCTGTCCCTCCAGAACACACCCTAAAATTAGCCAACATATTACCTTCATGTATGACCTACATGATTTCCAAACTGTTGTCTCTGTGCTGGGACTCGGAAAGAGAGCAACTTGGGTTTCCTACAGCCCTTTGGCTCACTCAGACATAAACCCCACTAGTTTTCAAAGCCAGATGTTATAGGGGCTCCTCTTCCTGATGCAGGCCCCCAAGGATAGGATTGGACCCCTCGCTCTTCAAGACAACTTCTTCACTTGTTATATCCTTCCCACTTGTGAGTCACTGCACAGGGAGTTGGGAGAAGGGTAGGTCATGAGTAGACTTAATCTCTACCCCTCCTACCCATTTAAATGTGGCCTTTTCTTTATATCTGTAGTTGTAGAACATTTGTTCTGCTGGTTTTTAGATTATTCTTAGAGAGAGCTGTTCTATATGTAGTTGTAGTTTTGTGTCAGCAAGAGGAGGTGAGCTCAGGATCTTCCTATTCCACCATCTTGAACTCAAAGCCAGGAGCCTTGTTCCTGAAAGCCAATTTAGTTTGTCCATCAAATATCACTCCTTGTGGTTGGCACAGTGCCCCTGCAACAGATTGGTCTCCAGATGGGATCTCCAATAGCTAGCTATGTTTCAAATAGTCCCTCTACTCTGAGGTGATAGCAAAAGGAAGTATCACAAAAGACAACCAGGACATTTTAGCAAGTGTAGTTGGATATTCCTTATAGGATAACTGTATTATTGGAGGTGGGAAGAGCTTCAAAACATTCTTGGACTTGTCACTTCCCTTTTTAGACCATTGGGCTACAAATTTTATATTTACTGTTGCTTCATCTAAGAGTTATTAGAAAAGTGCTGCAGTGAGTGGGAGCTTAGGAAGAAAAATCAGACATGTTTTATCTTGTCCCTTCCAGTTTCCTTAAGAGCAACAATCTCTTAGCCTCCAGTTCCATAGTAAAAGGTGGCAAATTCTGTTCCTTCTTTAGAGGAGCTCTGAGCGCATGATCTAGGAACCCTTAAAAAGTACCACTGCAAGCCTCTGTGAAACTTAACAGAGAAAAAGGAAAAAAGACAGATTCATCCTCATTTATTAATTCCATCAGATAATCAATTTTAAGAGATGAGAATACAGCAGGTGGAAGCTGGCAGCCAAAAATTTAACCTTAAGAGCCAGGCATGGAAAGTAAATTTGAGGCAGGGTTATTGGGAAGTGGGGCTACACTCAGACCCATGCTCTGGATTCAGCCACACTCAATGGTGTTTTGGTATTTTAAAGAAAAGTTCTTCGCTGTGCTGCTGAGAACCTTCTGTTCGACACTCATGGAAGGAACCCAGTATCATGGTTAAGATCAGTACCCTTTCACCCTGGCTGGCGTAGCTTGGTGGATTGAGTGTGGGCTGTGAACCACAGCATCACAGATTCAATTCCCAGTTAGGGCACATGCCTGGGTTGCAGGCCATGGCCACCAGCAACCGCACATTGATGTTTCTCTCTCTCTCTATCTCTCTCTCTTTCTCCCTCCCTTACCTCTCTAAAAAATAAATAAATAAATAAAATATTTTAAAAAGGAAAGATCAGTACCCTTTCTCCTTTAGCTATATCCAGGGGGTCATCAGTGTAAAATTAGAGAGGAGAATGAAGCAGGCTAGGTGGAGAGGCAGAGCTAATAAAGTTGGAGCACTCACTGTATGCCAGGTGCCATTCTAAACAGTCTATTGAGTGATTCTGAAATGTTCACAAGAATCTTGTAAGATAGGCACTATTTTTAGTCACATTTTCCAAATTAGGGAACTGGAGCACAGAGAAGTGGGGCAACTTGTCTAAGATCAGACAGCTAGTAAGTGGCACAGTCAGGATTTAAACAACAGCAATTTGGCTCCACAGTCAATGTTCTTAAAAAGTATGCTATATTGTCTCTACCTGTTTTTGCCCTTTTCATTTAGATAGCTCCTGGTAAGGAAAAAGATTTCACCATATACATAATATCCTACTCAGATAAGACTCACAATGGTCCCAGGAGGAAGTAGGGAAATGAAAGGCTCATAACTTGTGAAAATTCACTCCCTAAAGCAAAGCAATAGAGCATAAATCATGAGCCTAGGACACATAGGAGTAGTGGTGAGTCACAAAAAAAAGTTGTTCCCATAGGAGGTGAGGGATTTAATGGAAATCTCATTTTTGAAATACAACGTCAAAAGTTAGGTAGTTGCTGAGGGGAATTAGACATGGATGAAATTACCAAACCTGGAGCAAAAAGGTCCCTTTCTACCTTTACCCTCCAGGGAAGTACAGGAGTTATGAAAGGCAGGAGGCAAGTTATGGGCAAAATGGAAAATACAGTGAGTTAATGTAGTAAGTCTTTGGTTCCAGAACTCTTCTGTGGTTCTAAAGACATTTATTGAATATCAGGCAAGATAAATGTCCTTCCTTGTCTTTATCATTAACATGCCAAGTAGCAAGTGAGGGCATGTCAGCAAGTCAGAGAGCCAGTGATAATAGAGAGGCCCACTACCTCCTGAACAAAGTTAATACCTGGGCCTGACTCTTGCATATAAATGCTCTTCTGGCATTAAACCATTGAAAGTTTTTGTTTTGTTTTACTTTACTGAATAGTCAAGGCAAATCAATCTTACTCTCTTTATGTAGTTTTACTGTAACTTCCTTTGAATTAGTGTTGAAGAAGTCTTAGCTCCTAAAGAAAAGGAGACAACAGCAGAATTAGGCCCACTGCCAGACCCAAAAAGGCTATCCCAACCCTGACCCTCTACATTTCTTTGCTTCTGTTCTTCTCTGTGCCCCTGTCAGCATCTCCCCAAGTTATTCAGTTAGTCAGCTGATTAGGTAGCTTTCAAAGCATCTTACTGTCCTACTTTTTAAACAAAACATTTATGAACAAAACATATTCATAGGATATTTTAGAAGATAGTCATTCCTTCCTTGGAGTCTTCACCCACAACACATATCATTCTTGAAGGAGGTAGCATGGTACTGTAGAGTCAGATCTTAATTCAAATCCCAACTCTTGCCTTGACTTTTCTAATTTGGAAAAAGGTAAATTTTCCTACTTCACTAGGTTTTTAGAGAAATTAAAGCAATAATGTATAATTTGCCTAGAATAAATACTTGTACACAGAAGGCATTAAATATATACTAATGACCTTTTTGCACAAGAGGTCAAGAATCACTTGGGCCTACCTAAAACCCAGAGCCTTATGTCTGAGATGGAGTACTTAGCATATGTGTTCTTTATCTCTCAAAACTAAATAATGGTAATAGGAGTAAAGGGAAAAGGTCCTACAACTCTTAGAGAAGTTGAAGGATGAAGAAGGAAACACAGCTGGGAACATTTCCCCCAGTGCACATTGCTCTCCTTCTTTCAGCATGTGGGGATGGGGACACAAAACTAAAGGAGGAGCTCTCTTGGTACTTGAGAGAAAGAAATGTGGTGCCACGTTTCAGATGGCTTCTCAGTTATTTCCCTAGATACCAACACAAAGGTCAATGGATCAGAGCTCAGTGGAGGCATCGAGAAGCAATGTGGGAAGAGGGACATTTTCTTTGAATCTTACAGGATGGTAAGAGAAGGGTATTTGTTACTTTTGTTCTTATGCTTCAAGCAGCATGAAAAGCAACCATGGGAAGTCAGGACATCACAGACACAAGCATCTATAGAACTAAGAAATGGCAATACTTGACAAGTGTGGACACTTTACTGAAGAACACATATATTGTAGGGGGTGGAGAAAAAAGGAGAAAGTTACAGACCAGAATCCCAGGTTATGCCTTATATATCAATCCACACCAAATAAACCCTTTAAAAACACTCGTCCATTCAATTAACACATACAATAGAAACCACCTTAGCTGCCCTCAATCCAGTGACCTTATGAAAGAGCCAGCAAGCAGATGACTAGACTGAAAGGGATTTTTTTCTCCAGTATATACTCCTTTCTCAAATGACTTTCTGTAGAGACTCATGGAAGAATAAAAAAGTCAGTTTGGAACACTGAGTTTCAGAAAATAAACCTTAGATCACTAGACCCTTCTAGACTAGAAAGCTCTCAGTACACCATTCCCATGTTACATCTAGGTGAAATTTAGGAAAAAACATAAAACATAAGAACTGAAACCACTTCAAGATGGAAGTCAGACTAATTGGGAGAATCTATGAACACATTCTATTAGAGCATTAACAGTGACCAGCCTACAGAAACACTGGACCAGTTTAGACAGTACTTAGCTATTCTGGTGGACATAAAGGCATGTATATCATATTCTGTGTGGTAACACACTGCAGATACAAATGCCAAGAAATATGTGATACCCATTGAGAGTGAAGAAGTCTTGAATTTCATTAGAGAAATGAACTCTCCAACAACTGTTTTATTAGTTTAAATGCAAAGAATTCAACATTGGCTGGAAGACACTTCAGCTTCAGTCACTCTGGTCCCCTGGAACCAAGTAGTACTTTGTGGACATGTTCATGACTTGGTCAAAAGGCTATTATTTAATTAAAGAGCTTTTCAAAGCGGCTCCACTAAAAGGTATAGCGAAGGTGTCTAGAACCAGAAGGAACTGAAGAATTTTCTTAGCATTCAAATAAAAATGCATTAGACACACACAAGGTGGAAACTGATTTAAAAAAAAAACACAAGAGGAGTTAAAAGCCAACTTCTACAATTTGATCAAGGTAGAAAATGAGTTAAAAGCATAAATTAGAGAGGAAGGAGAGGACCTATTCACCTTTATACCATCTTCCCCTGTCTTGAGTAAACCAACCCTCCTTTCCAGAGCTTTGGCCTCATTCCAGGAACACATTTAAACATACATTGGTACTAATGTCAGAGGTAGCGAGGGCTTCATGGGACAAAGATAGTAAGACGGGATAAAAAAGTTGTTTTTTAAAATTTTGTAAGTTAATTAAACCTTAGAAAGATATAATAAAGAATGGACTCTGAAAGTACACTAGATTATGCACAAATAAAAGCATTTTGAAGAGACCTTTATTCTTGAGCTTGCTTTCAAAAGGGGAACAATCTGCATCACTCTAGCATAATGAGATTTGTAGAAATACATGTTTATATACACACAGACATAACACATACATATTAAATCTTTATTCTTTGTCTCTTCACCTCTTCTGACTTGCCCTGGGCAGGGCTGTGCCTAAAGAGAAAGGCAGGGACTCATAAGCCCAGTTTCTGCCTGGCCATTGTGGAACGGAGCTGCAGTGTCCCTTCTGCCCAAGACCCTGGGTACTGTCGCATCTTCTGCCACAGGCTCACTTCTTCCCCAGTTGAATCCATCCAGTCCACCACTTCCCCATTACTGATACCTGAAAAGAAACACCAGAAGAGACTGAACAGGGACCCCAGCCCTCAGCCTACCAGGAATGATGGGTTATACAGCAAGAGTAGCCACCCCATAAAACACATTGTGTTATGAAGATGCACTGATAGGGACCACGGTCTTGGAACTATTCCCTAATGATTATGTACAGCTATTTATGTGCTCCTGAGAGTATATCGAGACACTTTTGATCAAGAAATGTGACTCCAAATGGGTCATCAGTAGTTAGAGACCTCTTATTCTGAGGCTGGTGTGGAGCTCTGATGTCTGATACATCATGCCAGAGCTACTGCCCTTCTGTTATTGCCAACTTGACTTACCGTTTTTTAAAAAATAAACTGAACACCTTTTCCTCTAGCTATAAAATCAAGACCTGAATTTAGGATTGTATGTAGCTTCATTCCTATTCTCTTGTACATTCATTCATTCGGTAAACATTTGTTGAGTGCCTACTGTGTCCAGTACTCTTCTAAGCTCTGGGGAATACAGGGTGAACAAAGCAGAAAAAGTCCTGCCTGCAGGCAGCTTACATCTGAATAGGGAAGAGAGAAAATATACAACTAAATCAATAAGAGTATTTCAGATAATGAGGCAAATGTAAAGAAGTTAATAATCAAGGTGATTTGTAGTGCCTAGATTAGGGCATCCTCTAGATGGAGAGTTCTGAGGGTCTCTCTAAGATGGGAAAATTTGAGTCAAGATCTAAACGATGGAAATGAGCCAGGCTTTCCAAACAGAGGTAACACTAATTACTGAGGTTTTAAAATGGGAATAAGCTTAGTATATTTTGAGAGCAGAAAGAAAGTCATTGTGGCTAGAGCACAGTGAGCAAGCCAGAGAATAATACAGGGATGCATAATAAAGAAACAGAGACGGTATAGATCATATGGGACCTGTGGGCATGCTGAGAACTTTGCTCTAAGTACAACAGAATGCTACTGAGGGTTTTAAGGAGAGAAATGACATGAACTGGCTTACATTGGTAAAAACATCATCTTAGATGCTTTGTATTAAATGCAAAGACTATAGAAAGAGAAAAGAAAAGGATCCTAGACTATGCCTTGAAAAACACCAACATTTAGAGTTTGGGTATAGAATGAGGAACCCACAAAGAAAATTGAGAAGGTGATCTGTGAGTTAAAAGGGAATCAAGGGTGTAATGTCAATAAAAGCTAAGTATTTCAAGAAAAAAGGAAGTGATAAGCTAGGTTAAATAGCATCAAGAATTCTAGTAAGGTGAAAACAAAACTTTGGCAGAAGTAATTTCTCAGTGGCATGGTAAAACAGAAGTCAGATCACAGTGCATTGAAGACTAAAGGAGAGCGAGGGAACAAAGATAATTATTTTCAATAAATTAGAGGAGAGTTGTGGGATCAAGGGAAGGTTTATTTCTTGTTTCTTAGGATCAGAAATACCAGAGCATATTTATTTTCACCTCCAGTAGGGAGGCAGAGAGAATGAAACTGATCACACAAGAGAGATAGGAGATTCCAGAAGTGAGGTCATTGAGAAGTGAGGATATGATCCAGAACACTTGAAAACAGATTGCTCTTTGCTACAAAGGGCCCTTCTTTTATTATAACAGGACAGAAGATGGAAATTATAGGTATAGATACAGGCAGGTTTTAAGATTGGTGGGAAGATAATGGTATTCCTGGCAATCAGGGTCTCATTTATGTGCTCATTTATGTGCATGAGCTCAGTCTTCCTCTAGGCCTGCACATAGTAGGCACTCAGTAAATATTGGTTGAACATTAACTCAGGAAAGAAGACCACTTTTGTCATAGAGAAGCTTTGTAGGGAGGAAGTTGGGAATACTGGGAGTGAAATATACAAGAGGCCTTTAAGATACTGAGCAAAAGTGGGGGAGAAGCTCTCACCAGTGCCAACACTCAGCCTGACCCCTCCCAGGAAGTCATTGCTGGCTAGGGGCTCCCGGTCCCACACAGTCAATTCCAGGCACATGTGTTGTAGATCATCCAGCCTTACGCCACTGTAGACAAATGTATGGTTGTAGTGGGGATTCAGGGTCTTCTTCATCACAGGAGTTTTACGTTTACTGCCCTTGTTCTTCATGGGAAGGAGGTATCTGGCAGAGGGCAGGGGAGTAATCAACAACCTACTCAAGTCTGACAATATGTATCTAAATTCCACTTTCCCCTACCACAGGCCTAGTCCACAAAGGTGAGACAACTCTCAGATCCTCACACACATACTCCTGCTTTTGAATCTGCTGAAGTAGATTCCTACTACCTCTACTAGATCACTCATCTGATTAAATTCCTTCAACCTGGAGAGAAAATTGATATAATGTTATTATATTAAAATGTGTTTTAAATATTTTGTTCTGTTTCTATTGGATAAGGTCCTCTTTAAATAAAACCAATGGTAGTAACTACAGACATAGCCAAACATAATTTGCTAGAGAACTTAATTCAGTGGGGTTATCTATAATTTGGGGAAAGTGAGCATTCCTTAAATATTCTGGGGAACAAAGTCATGAGTCCCTAAATCTTGATAGGGGACAGAAGGCTTTTTTATTCATTTATTAAAGATTAATTAAGAGCATAAATCTATAACAAAGGAAAAGTCAAACCTATCTGTCTACCCCCTTCTTCTTTGGCAATCAGCATTAGTCCAGTCCAGTGCAAACCTGGTAATGGGGGTTTTGTCATTACCTAGCTTCAGGGACAAGTTGATTGCTAGAGGTGGTAGAACACATAAGTATAATATCCATACAGAAAGGGTAAATTGGGTTTCTCTCTTAGCTCTCTTGTTCTGAAACTGGTTAATTTTGTACTGGTCCAGGGACTCACCCCTTGACAAAGCTGTCTGAAGTCCCTCCTGATTTGGCAGCCATCAGGTTCTTGGCTTCTTTGATCCATACTTGGAGCTCTCCCCCTTCCCCACCTTTACCTGTAAGGGATGTCAGCCATAGCAAGTGAGCCTCTATGCCTCCAGATTTCTCTTGAGCTTTATCTACACAACACTTCTTTTCCTTGCTCCTGAAGGCAGCAAGCTCCATAACTGGACCACCACACCTGACCTCGATTCTCAGTACCTAGCAGAGTGCCTAACAGTAAGCAATAGGTGCTCAATTAATAAAAAACAACAGCAATAAATGCTTATCAAAATCTCACTATGAGAGTGATTCTACATTAAGCATTTAATTCTTAAAACAACCATATGAGATACTCTTATTGTCTTCATTTTATAGATGACGAAATTGAGGCTTAGAAATACAAAGTTGCCTAATATTTATTGAATGCCTAAAAAAGAGGACTTCTCCACTTGTGTCTTGACCCCACCCCCACTTCACAGGATTCATCAGGCATCATCAATGTCAACACCTACCTCCTATTTTTCTTTTTTAAGGTTTTATTTATTTATTCTTATAGAAAGGGGAAGGGAGGAAGAAAGAGAGGGAGAGAAATATCAATGTGCGGGGTTGCCTCTCATGTGGCCCCTACTAGGGATCTGGCCCACAACCCAGGCATGTGCCCTGACTGGGAATCAAACCAGTGACCCTTTGGTTTGCAGCCTGTGCTCAATCCTCTGAGCTACAGCAGCCAGGGCCCTACCTCCTATTTTTAATATCTTTTTCCACTGATCCCATTCTTTCAGTGTAAATATCTGCTAATCTCATCTCTCCTTTTTAAAAAATTATTTTAAAAAGAAAATCACCCTTCAACTTTATCTTATTTTGAGGCTACTCTCCATGTAGCCTTTCTTTCACCATCAGTTATCCTAAAAAAAAAAAGAGTCCATACTCAACACCTCTACTTCTCTGCCTCATTAACTCTGCCCAGATTCTAGTGAAATCTGGTTTCTGCTTCAACTAATACACTGAAAACGTAATCTAATGTCGATAAGCCATGTCTTCTCAGGCCACACTGAGCCTGACCTCCCATTAGTATTTCAATGCTGTTGACAAATCCCACTCCCTTCTTCAATCTCTTTCCTGGCATTGCTCTCTCCTGATAACCCTCTATCTTACTAGCTTTTCTCTTCTCTTCAACCTTTATAATGCTGATGTTCCTTATGGCTCTATCCTTGCCTCTCTTCTCTATTCATTTTGCACAACCTCCTTGGGGATGTCATTGATTTCCCACATCCTATAGGTAGACCTTGCTATAGGATCTTTTGTAGGAATGTTGGCTTTCCATTGTCAATAGATCAATTACAACTCCTTACCATTCTGTTCAAGGTTCTTTTCAGTCAGGCTCCAGCCTCATCAACAATTCTAGCCCCATTTTCACATATACATGCCGTAATTCCAGCCCCACCAAAATAAGGAATTCACTGCCTCACACTCACCACTGTTATTTACCATGCTCATACTATTTCCTCTTCTGCAAATGCTCTTCTCACTTCATCCTTTTCCTTTTCTGCCTGGTAAAGTCTTAAGTCCAGTTTCATCATTACTTCCTCTCTAAAGCTCTCCCAAATATAACCAGAAAGAATCCATCACTCCTGCATCTGTGTTCTTTTTGCATATGACTGTCTTGCCAAACTAAGCCCCTCAAGGGAGGGCAAATGTCATGTCTCATTCATTTACATATCCATAGTAATTGCACAGTGCCTGGTATATTGATTCCTTTTTCCTCAGCCTTCAACTTCCTTTCCCTCACACCTCATACCCCTTCCAACCATCCTTTCTTGGCCCCAAAGTTTCTGTTCTGTTCTGCCCTCTTAAGAGCTTGCCACAGCTGGACCAAGACAAAGTCAGTTTCATGACCTAAAAAAGTTAAATGCCAACCCTAAGGCATTCCTTTATGGTTGAAATATGCAGAAAAGGCTTATTTAGTAAGTAAAAGAATCTTCCCTAGAAGATGATCCAGGGCTTATCTCAATATGGTTTCTCCAACAGTGCTAGCCACTAGCCAGTACCAACTCACATACGTCCTATACAGAATATAACGGCTAAATCCAGGGCCACAAAGAAAACTCACTCTTTTTCTGGTCACCTCCAACAGGGAGCTTAGAGGCTGGGATGTACTTCAGTGAAACCACCAACTCGCCTCTGTGTGATGGCAAGCCAGTCGTGGACTCAGCACTGATCTGAAATACAGGGAAAACCCAACAGGTTGAGGTGGGCTTCTCAGGAGGTGCTGGTATCTCTTGCTGATGAGATTCTAAAATTATCCCCAAGAACAGCTTCACAGCATGAGGATCCTTCTCCTTATGAATACAATCTGGGGTCCCTCGGCCATGGTAGCTACAGGTTTCTAAGGCAGTTTCTTCAGAAGAAGATATAGAAGAATCAACAAAATGTCTTCTGGAATACCCACCATTTTGCTACTTGGTGATATAGCTACTAGATTCCACATACTGTCAAAGGTCTTCCAGAAAGATTGCCACATAAACTCACAGGGGGCTGATGCCAAAATGAAGGATCTCGCTACCAATTATTAGTAATAGCTGAAAAGTGGAAATAACTTACATATCAATCAATATAGAAAAGGTTAATGAGTGATTGTAATGCCCTCATGTGGCATGCAATCATCGAATGAATGCAGTGAATCTATACATGCTGACATGGAAAGATATCCAATATGTATTGTTAAGTCACCAAAGCAAGATGCAGGAAAGTATCTCACGTCTATATTTTATTGTTTTGCACACCCAGAATGCAAAACAATAAAATATATTCATATTAGTACATGTGAATATATGTGTATATAAGTAATGATCATCATCATCATCATTAAATAGTGCTTACTATGTGTTACAAGTACTTCAAGTATATCATTTTGTTTAATCCTCAAGATAGTTCTATAAAATAGGTACTATTATTCCAATTTTACAGATTATGAAGCAGAGGAACAGAGAGGTTAAGTAATTTGCCCAGGGTCATACAGTAATAGGCAGAAGCAAGATTCAAATTCAGATCAACTGTTTCCAGAGTTGATGCTTTTAATGACTCTACTACACAGCATAGAAAAACCCCAAAGAATACAGACAAACTTAACACTTTTTTCTTCTAAGGAAGATAGTGGAATGGTGAAAGGATAGAGGGCCTTCATGTTTTACTCTGTATATACCTATAGAGCCTTTTAAATAAGAATAGTATGTATCACTTGAATGATCTTCAAAATATACAGTATTTTTTTAACACAGAACTTGCAAAGATTTGAAGACTAGGTAAAACTGTGTTACGAGGATTTGAATATGCCACAATTCTTTTTATCCTCACCTAAAGGCATTTTTTTCATTGCTTTTAGAGAGAAGGGAAGGGAGAGAAGAAGGGTGGGAAAGAAACATCAATGCAAGAGAGAAGCATTGATTGGTTGCCTCCTGCACACTTCCAGACTGGGGATCGTACATGCCTGGACTGGAGATTGTATGCACCTGAACTAGGGATTGAACCTGCAATCTAGGTATGTGCCCTGACTGGGAATCAAACCACAACCTTTTGGTTATGGGACAATGCTCCAACCAAGTGAACCATAATGGAAAGGGCAATATACCACAATTTTTAACTTCACATTTATTTATGCAACTTTTGATTAATGACTGCCTCTACCACTAGAACATAAACACCAGAAGGGCAAGAATCAAGCCTGTTTTTGTTCATCCTAGCATGACTGCAACTAAGCAAAGTACCTGGTACATAGTAGGCACTCCACAAATATTTACTGAATGAATGAAAAAGTGAATAAATATCAGGGATGAACAGCAAGTAGCCTATCATCTTTGGCTGTGAATAGCAGAACTGCCTCACTCTACTGGCTCTCTTGGCATGGCTCTGTTCTTTATGCTTTGGTACCCCAAGCATGAGCACTAGAGGTGCCCTTTCACTGGGGCTCCTTTAAACTAGGTCCTCATTACTGAACATATCAATGCCAGGAGGGCATAATCCTGATCACTTTAGAAAAATGTACCACATACCAAGAATGCACAAAGTTTAGTGTAATGGAGAGATAGAAAAGAAAGGGAGGTGCTAAATGAAGAAAGTTCTGGTCAAGATGGAGATTTAGGCAGAAATGCTTCACTTTCTTGCATAACCAAAAGAAGGATAACAACTAATTTAAAAACAAAGAACAACCAGAACTGACAGAAAAACATTTGCATGGAAGTCCAACAACTAAGGGGTTAAAGAAACATTCATCCAGATGGTGCGCTGAGACAAAGAAATATGGCCCAAGTGAAAGAACAGATCAAAACTCCAGAAAAAGAAATAAACGACAAGGAGTTAGACAACCTGTCTGATGCAGAGTTCAAAACACTGGTAATCAGGATGATCAAAGAATTGATTGAACTTGGTTGCAAAATAAAGGAAGAAATGAAATCTACACAAAGTGAAATAAAGCAAAATATACAGGGAACCAACCGTGAAGGGAAGGAAACTGAGACTCAAATCAACGATTTGTTATAAAAGGAAGAACTAAGCATCCCACCAGAACAGAATGAAGAAACAAGAATGCAAAACAGTTAGGAGAAGCTTAGGAACCTCCAGGACGTTAAGCATTCCAACATCCAAATCATAGGGGTGCCAGAAGGAGAAGAGGAAGCACAAGCAATTGAAAACCCACTACAGCAAATAATGAAGGAAAACTTCCCCAGTCTAACAAATGAAATAGACTTCCAGGAAGTTCAGGAAGCCCAGAGAGTCAGAAAGAGATTGGACCCAAAAAGGAACACACCAAGGTGCATCATAATTAAGTTACCCAAGATTAAAGATAAGGAGAGAATCTTAAAAGCAGCAAGAGGAAAGGAGAGAGTTACCTCTCCAAATGAGTTCCCATAAGGCTATCACCTGATTTCTCCAAAGAAACCTTACAGGCAAGAAGGGGCTGGAAAGAAGTTATTCCAAGTCATGAAAGGCTTGGAATACTTCTTGAGGTTTGGAATACTCCTTGAAAGGACCTACATCCAAGATTACTTTATCCAGCAAAGCTATATCATTTAGAATGGAAGGGCAGATAAAGTGCCCCAGATAAGGTCAAGTTAAAGGAGTTCATCATCACCAAGCCCTTATTATATGAAATGTTAAAGGGACTTATCTAAGAAATATAAGATAAAAAAACTATAAACAGTAAAATGACAACAAACTCACAACTATCAACAACCGAACCTAAAAAAAATAAATAAATAAACAACAACAACAAAAAAACCCTAAGTGAACAACTAAAACATGAACAGCATCACAGAAATGAAGATCACATACATGGTGGCTCACCAGTGGGGAAAGGGAGGGGGAGAGTGGGCAGAAAGGTACACAGAATAAGAAGCATAATAGGTAGGCAAAAAATTGACAGGGGGAGGTTAGGAATAGTATCAGAAATGGAGAAGCCAAAGAACTTACATGTACGATCCATGAACATGAACTGAGGGGAGGGATGCTGGAAGGTCAGGGGGGCAGTGCAGGAAGGAGGGGGATAAAGGAGAGAAAAAACTGGGACAAATGTGATAGCATAATCAATAAAATATACTTTAATAAAAAAGAATAGGGAGGTAATAGTGGTTACCAGAGAGTAAGGGGGTTTGGGGGTAGAGGGTAAAGGGGGTCAAATACAACGTGATGGAAGGGGACTAGACTTTGGGTGGCAAACATACAACGGAGTACACAGATGTCATAAAGTTATACATCCCAATAAATTCAATAAATTCAGTTGTATACCTGAAATTTGTACAATGTTATTAACCAGTATTACCCTAATAGATTTAATGTAAAAAAAAAAAAAGAATAAGGGAGGTAGATGCCTGGAAGAGAACACTCACTGGGAGGCAAATGGATTACTGGGTGAAAAAACAGAAATAATAAATATAGAATGTTTTAAGTTAAAATAGATATATAATATTGAAATAGTCTTTGTGTTGTTTATTAAATGTCTACATATTTTTAATTTCTACATTGTGAACTTCAATGGACTTTTAAGAATTGGAGGTTAGCTTAGCTCAAAGTTGGTGTGTTTGTTTCAGTAGCATATTTTCATTCTGTCTCAAAATAATTGCAAAAACCAAATACCTCCATTTTAATGCAGATTTTCATTTTAGTTCATGATGGTTTAGTGTAATGTTTCCCAAATAATGATATCTACTGTAGGCCCCTAAGAGAATGACTTGTGTGCCAAATGCTTAAGAAATTCTAAATTTCTAATAATATGCTATAGCTTTGTGACAATTTCTTTCCTGTTTTTATTAGTATTTAAAAGGACAATTTAATGTTACTGCTTTTTGGAAGGCAATAGTTATCAAAATATTAAATGTACATTTCCTTTGACTCAGAAATTCCATCACCAGAAATGTTGCCTACAGTTACATTTTAAAAAGGAGGCCAAGATATATTACAGCATAGGTTTTTAACAGTGAACAAAAAAAATGAACTATTTAAATGCTCATCAGTGGGGGAATGGTAAATAAATTACAATACAGGCACATGAAAGATAACTATACAGTATTTAAAATGAGATAGATTTCTAAGTAATAACATAAAAAGATGTCCATGATCAATGATAGATTGTTAAATAAAAAATCAAGATAATAAAAAATCAAGATATATATACACAAAAGGGTTTGTATGATCTTATTTGTGTACAAAGAAAAAATGTAAATTTTTATGTGTATATCTGTGCTGCTTAATATAAATTTCTTTTTTTTTAAAGATTTTATTTATTTATTTTTAGGGAGGGAAGGGAGAGAGAGAGAGAGAGAGAGAGAGAGAGAGAAACATCAATGTGCGGTTGCTGGGGGTTCTGGCCTGCAACCCAGGAATGTACCCTGGCTGGGAATCGAACCTGGGACACTTTGGTTCCCAGCCCGCGCTCAATCCACTGAGCTACGCCAGCCAGGGCTAATATAAATTTCTATAAAGATATACAAGTAGTTGATAAACTGGTTATTTCTAAGGAATAGAACCTACTTTTCTTCTTATACATGTCTATGTTCTTTTAATTTTGAACCATATGCATATAAATCCTTTTATTCTTAATTTTCTTAATAAGTGATATATTTTATATATGTATATAAAATTATATACATAAACACACTGTAAAAGTTCAAACAATATATTAATTCTTTTTTAAGATTTTATTTATTTATTTTTAGAGAGGGAAGGGGGAGAGAGAGAGAGAGAAAGAGAGAGAGAGAGAGGAAGAGAGAGGGAGAAACATCAATGTGTGGTTACTGGGGGCCATGGCCTGCAACCTAGGCATGTGCCCTGACTGGGAATCAAACCTGCGATACCTGGTTCACAGCCTGCGCTGCGCTCAATCCACTGAGCTACACCAGCCAGGGCAAAAGTTCAAACAATATAAAAGGGCATATAGAGATAACTAAATTGCCTGCCCACCTCAGTCTGTCTTCCTACAGGAAGCCACTACCCCTAGTTTCTTGTCTATCTTTCCAAAGATATTCTATGGACCATGTCCTATTATTTGCATTTAAAATGCTAGGGTAAAAAAATTTAACAAAAGAACCTTGCCATTGAATAGTTCTGATAATCAAGAAGTTCTATCTCTGTCTTAACAAATTCATCTTAAACAGAATGACAGCAACCTATTGAATGTCCATTATGTGCCAGGCACTAATTGGTACTTTGCACACAATCCTGTAAAAAAGAATACTATCATCTCCATTTTATAGAAAAAACTAAGGCTCACAGAAGTTAGGTGACTTACCTACTGTATTTTTGGACCATAAGACGCACCTAGGTTTTAGAGGAAAATAGGAAAAAAAAATTGAAGCAAAAAATGTGGTAAAATGTTTAACAACATAAATAACATAATATTTCACCAATGTAAACATAAACAGAACTCAACAGCAGCATTAACAACCATTATTCCTCCCAAATTTGGGGATGGGGTGGAGAAAGTGCATCTTATAGTCTGAAAAATACAGGTAAGTTATTTTATGTTACATGATTTAACTACCTGGCAAATAGCAGAACCCGGGTCCAAATCCAGGTCTGCTCTCAGATCCCAGGCACTATTTTTCACACTGCTACCCTCTCATCTGAGGTACCATCTCCATTTCACTGATCTGTGTGACCAAGAGCACAGCAATTGGAACTCCACAAATTGTTTTACTTCCCACTTCTTTAGTGAAAATTTTAGTTTGGAAAAGGAGTGCAGATTAGGATACACCCAAAAGGTTAGCTTAGAGAAGAGGTGCAAGTTAGGATGTTAGTATATGCCCAGACTCTGGAAGGTTAGGAGGCAAATCGTGGCACACACATGAAAAACTTTTCGAAGGAAAACTATGGCTTCATCCTTTGCCAGGCCGTACAAGTCCTCAGAAACTCCAGCAAGATGCATTAGAACTATACAGCAGACTACATTTAAAGATGTTACCAACATGTACCAGCAAGGGATACTGCAGACAATTCTACTTCATATCCAAACTGCCTGAATTGTAAAAGCAGACTACCTTTCCATGCAAAGGGAGGCAATGATCCAGTTTCTTGTCAAGCTTCCAGGAATCCATCTGGACATCTGCTTCTCCAAGAAAAGTATTTCTACCAAAACGACCATGATGCCAAACTGAGAACTGCAATGTTCTCTGGGCCAGGAGAGATTCAGGGATCTCATACTGTGAAAAGAAGCCCAAGATGATTATTGATAATTCCTCAGCAAAGATTATTCCAACATCTGAGCAACCAGTCCCAGAGTCCATAGTACTAAAGATTGTATGACTATAGTCCGTAAATCACTATGAGTTTCCTCAGTTAAAAGCTTCAACTTACTCCATTTCAAAAAACCTACCATAGTCCATGGGAAGGCCTGGAAATTAATTTTTCCTTGAGTGGGTAAGAGAACACTGGAACATTCCCCTGCAAAATGCCCAGAGACTCCTAATTCCAAATGATGCTTTTTAAATTTTACTTTTCAATTACAGTTTTATTCAGCATACTTTTCTATCACTTTCAGGTGTACAATATAGTGGTTAGACAATCATATACAAAAGTGTACCACCCAATATTTCAAGTACCCACCTGTCACCATACATAGTTATTACAATATTGTTGACTATATTCCCTTTGTTATATACTGTATTTTTTGGACTATAAGACACAGTTATTTTTACCACATTTTTTGGCTTCAAATTTTTTTCCTATTTTCCTCCTCTAAAACCTAGGTGCATCTTATAGTGCAGATCTAAGATGCACCTAGGTTTTAGAGGAAGAAAATAGGAAAAAAAATTTGAAGCAAAAAATGTGGTAAAAAAGTGCATCTTGTAGTTTGAAAAATACGGTGCTTTATATCTCCATGACTATTGTAACTATCAATTTATACTTTTTAAGACTTTTACCTTTTCCACTCAGTCCCCCAATCACCCTCCCCTTTAGCACCCATCACTATGGTCTCTGTATCTGTTAAGTCTGTTTCTATTCTGTTTATTTTGTCCTTTACATCCACATATAAGTAAAATCATATGGTATTTGTCTTTCTTAGTATGACTTATTTCACTTAGTATAATACTCTCTAGGTCCATCCATGCTGTTGCAAAATGTAACATGTCCTTTTTTATGGCTGAGTAATACTTCATTATATCTATGTATCATTACTTTTCTACCCAGCCATCTATTGATGGGCACTTGGGTTGGTTCCATATCTTGGCTATTATAAATAATGCTGGAATGAACATGGAGATGCATATATATTTTTTCTAGTTTGTTGGCCTTATTTTTATTAATATTTTATTGTTTATTCTATTACAGTTGTCCCAATTTTCTCCCTTTGCCCTCCCACCCAGCCTGCCCACCACTTCCACAGTCAATTCCTATACTATTGTCCATGTCTATGGGTCCTTCATATATGAGGCCTGTCCAGAAAGTATTCATCCACATAATATGAAAAATAGACACATTTATTGAAGATACAAGAAACATTGTACATAGGACAATGACACCTCACTCCCCTTCAAAGTAGGCCCTTGGGACCTCACACAGTTCTCCCAAACACCATCAGCTGCACCATCCTGTTTTTCTGAATCTGCACCATCCTGTTTTTCTGAATCCCATCAAAGGTTTGAAATCTCTTCCCTTTTCAAGGTGATTTTAGTTTTGGGAAAACAAGAAGTCACAGGGTGCCAAATCTGGGTTGCAGTGGGGCTGAGTCTCCTGGATGATTTGATATTTTGGCAAAAAATTCTGCATAATATGTGATGCATGAGCAGATGCATTGTGATGAAGCTGTCAATCACCAGTTGCCCATCGTTGCAGCCTTCTGAATCATCTGAACAGTTTTCACAGAAGAATGTTCAGACTTAACACAAATTTTGATGCAGATTTGTTGCTGTACTCGCTCAGTCATTTTGAATGTGACAACCACACAGTACACATGTTCATCAATGGCATCTACCGCCCCCACTAACTAGTACAGTGAAGTCATCAATGTTCATGCATGTACATTCCAGTCCACTCTCCTTGGCTGACAGGTTACATCAGTGTTGTGCAAGCTGTTCTCCTTATACTAACAATGGTTGGACTTTTTCTGGACTGACCTCCTATGTACTTTTTAATTAGTGTTTTGGGTTTCTTCATATATATACACAGAATTGCAATTCCTGAGTTTTAAGGCAGTTCCATTTTTAATTTTTTGAGGTTCTCTCTATACTATTTTCCACAGTGGTTGTACCAGTCTGCATTCCTACCAACAGTTTATGAGGGCTCCCTTTTCTCCACATCCTGGACAACACTTAATGTTTGTTGATTTACTGATGATAGGCATTCTGACAGGTGTGAGGTGATATCTCTCTGTGGCTTTATTATACATTTCTCTTCATAGTTTGAAGAGAATAAGTGTAAACTTTTTCTTTCAATGTTCAGTAAAAATTCACCTATGAAGCCTACCAGTCAATAACACTTGTTTATTGGAAAATTTTTTTTAATATTGTTTCCATTTTGTTGGTTATAATTGCTCTTTTAAAATTTTGTTGGTTATAATTGTTCTGATAAAAGTATCTCCCCATTTTGGCTGCTTCTCTGTTTGTTCCTATGTTTTCAATAGATACACTGTTTCTCCCAGTTTTTATAGGGTGGTCTTATGTAATAGGTGTTCTGTGGGTCTCAGGGGTGTAGTTTCTGTGATTACATGAGCTGGGTGCTTTACAAGTGTCTCTTGTGTGGGTTATATAATCCCTCCCATCTGTTGTATTTCAGTGTTGATTGCTGTTGGCCCAACTGGGTGGGGTTGACCCACAGGCTGGCTGCCTTTGACATTTGCCCTGACCACAGTGTATGAGCTGCTGACCTCATAAGGCAGAATTCACACCTGCAGGCTCTGGTGCATGCTGAGACCTCCCTTTGAGTGTGCTATCTGTAGAGGAAATCAGGTCACATTCTGATGTGGTCTGAAGCTAGCCACCAATGTGTTGGTTCTGGGGCCTCTTAGGAGGGACTTCAGTGCATGTCAATTTCAGACACTGTCTGTAGTTGATCCCAGGATACCTGTTAGGAGCTACAAGGCAATCCATGGTTGGTAGCTGCCCTTTCAGAGCCTGGGTTCTCTTTGGAGGCAGAAGGCTATGCATTGAAGCTGGCTGCCACCACTACTGAGGCTGGGGAAGGTCATCAAGAGTCCCAAGACACCCCAAAACTCATCACTGCCTGCTGGCTTTCCGTTAGACTCAGCCTCTAAATGAGCCTCTGGCAGTATGTGAGTTGTATGAGGCAGGCTCTCAGTGATTTATCAGGTAGGGATGAGTGTTTCATGCAGATTCAAAGAAGACACAAGTGCTAAGTCTAAGGCCACTCAGAAAAAGTCTCAGAGTATGCCAAGGCCAGCAGCTACCTTCCTGAGGCCTGAAGACCTTTGCAGTGTGGCAGGTCCTAGGGAGTTCGCAGAGAGGGGCTAGTGCCTCTCCCCAGGCTGATGCTGTTGGATCATGGAGACCAGGCAAACACAGGAACAGTGGCTCCTTCTTGTGTGTGGGGAAAAAGTAGCCCTCATCCAAAAGCCACACAAACTCAGTCTCTCCCTGTGTGCCTTTGGCACTCCCTGAGTTTGCCTGAACTTCTTTGGGAATTTTCAAGAAACACTGTAATGTGGGTTCAGGCTGTAGGCTACAAGTAGATCTCTCTACCAGGAGTGATCTTGGCAGGGCAGGGCTTCAGGTAGTTAGTGGAGGGAGTGGGGGATGTAGTGCATCTCTTCCAGCTAATGCCATATGGAGGGGTGTTCTCACTCAGGAAAGATGGCATCTGTGGGCAGTATAAAAGAGAGACCCAGCACAGGGACATTGGTGGCATCCCTCCAGCCCTTTCCCCAAAGCTACTCAACCCAATTTTTCCCTGTATTGACTCTGGTCCCCTCTGACCGACCATCCCTTCTATAGACCACAGGATGAGTGCCTGCAAGTGAGATTTTGTACACTGGTACTTTAAGAGAATGCCTGGGTTTCTTGCAGTTACCCATCTCACATGGGTGGATGGAGTCCTGCTTATTTTCGCAGACAGATATTACACGGTGTCTTTTTCACAAGTCTGGTGCTCTGCGCTAGTGAGCCCAGAATAGGTTTTAGGTTCCTTACTCTTCTGGGGGGACTTCTTCAGCTGAAATATTCCCTCAGATTCCATACTGCCACACATGAGTACAGGGCCATCACTTTTTGTGACTCCATCCTTCCTACCACCAGTCTTGACATGCTTCTTCTGTATATCCTTAGTTATGACTTCTGTTCAGCTAGTCTTCAGATGGATATTCAGGCTGATTGTTTTGTAGTTTAGATGTAATTTTGATATGGTCCTGAGAGAAGGTAACTGTAACTTCCACTAACTCTGACACCATCTTGAATCTCCCAGATGACTTTTTAAACTGAGATTTGTGGCCACACAAATCTCCAACTTCACAATATTCCAAGAAAGCCAGGTCACCTTTGTTCTCTTCTCTGAGAAGGGAGGATATGAACAGATACCCAGAGTGTATCCTCAGACATAGACATGGCCACTGAAAAGCACATTGACAAGCCATGTAGCCAGAGAATAACTACAGCTTACTTAATTCACAAGACAGAACACATTCTACTTCCCTCAAGGTCTAGATACTTACTCTGAAGATCTCATCATATAGTGGATTGACAGTGTTCCGCTTGATGCTGGTTTTTCTTTTTCCTTGCCGGGACTTGTCAGGCAGCAGATAGGTCTTCACATATCTAGAAACCAAGGATAGTACTGAGTAATTCATCATCTTTTCTCAGCCCATTCTTCACTTACCTTCTCTCCATTATACATATGCCATGAGGAAATTAAAATGTTACATCAAGCCCTCTTAGACATCCCATTATTGCATTTTCCCAATTCTGGACCCTTTCCCACATCTTTCCTAACCACCCTCAACCATAAAGCTTTGTCCTCCCAGGAGGTGATAAGCTCAGTTTAAGAGTTCCCAAATAGATGCCAGGGTCTGAACTCTCATCTCAGAGCATCAGTCAGGTTCTAGAAACACTCACGGATTAGAGCGCTTCTTGGCTTCATCGGCATAAGCCAGCTGGTGGCACTCCTTCACATGGATGATCAGAGTCTGTGTTTGTTGCTCATACTTCAGGGAAAAGACAATCTTGCCAGTCACAGAGATGTTCCCAAAATCGCCAGCTGCACTATAGATGCTCATCGTGCTGCCTATTGTACTCTAAAGATAAAGCACTCACAAATATCTGGCAAAGGCATACTCCCATGCCCACATGGCTCACATCTTTCCTCACAATAAAAAACACCACTGAATAAAACAAAAGTTTCAAAAGTCCCTACAACAAGCCAGTACTACCAACACTCTTGTATTCAGAGTATAAGAGACATCTAGAAGCAATCTCACAATCATTTGGGTTAATAAATCAACTCATGGCTCACATAGGCTCTTAGCTTCTCTTCTTTCCCTCTTTTTAGACATTTAGTTGTTAATTTTCACCTTCTGGCACCAGAAGGTGGGCAAGGTATAGAGGCAAGGTGGACCTAAGTCTATTTCTGGTATATGTTATATATACTAAAACATTGGTGAGAAGGGAACAGTTACTAATTAAAACAAAGTGCCTTAATTATCTGTGAGTTTCTTTTATCTACCTTAGCCCTATCAAGGCCTACAGAAAGAAGTAAATGAGTCAGAATCGGAGGGAAAATCCCTCCAGATGTAAAAAGACATCTTCCTCTCAGGTATTGATGAGTTGTGCAAGCCTGCTATTCTCTTCTTCTGTGTGAGCAGCAACAAACTCTAATTATCCTGGTTCCTGGCTCTTGTAACTAGGCCTTGATTCTTAAATTTTCTTTTAACTTCATGATTCTGCTTGGTATTGTTGCTCCTTAATCATACTGTGCTACCAATTAATCCTACCAGGGCCTTTCTCATGATACTCACTACTCTTGAACGTGAGATTTGAGTTGGGCTCAGATAAAGAAATCTGATCTTGCTCATTTCATGGCCTGAGTAACTCTTTATGGGAGAATTTACAGGTTACTGTTCACAAAGCTGTGATGAAGTACATCTCTAGGCCTAATTGTTATGCAACATAAGAATCTCCAAACCCACCTCCATGTGTCCTATTGGGGAGAAAATACAGACAACTATAATTGAACAACAATAAAATAATTTAAATAAAAAATATTTTTTTAATTTTTATTTTTGACCTGAAGTGACCTCACTGTGCAGTAAGCAACCAATGTGTAAATTGAGGACAGGAACAAATGCATACAAGTACCTGGAAAGAGTGACTAGAATGATTCAGGTCCTGACTCTGCTCCAAGGAACCACTTTTTCCCTTCCTGGTATCACAACGTGTTTATGCCCAAAGAACTAATACAACTTACCATGGAGGAGCCACTTTGCAGGCTGCTTCTGGCTAGTTTCTGGCGATGCAACTTCACCAGGTGGTCAATGTCTTCTTCTTCTTCCTCTTCTTCTTCCTCTTCCTCAAGCAATAAATATAGATTCAGAGTTAATACAAATAAGAAACAGCACAAAGACCAATATCCTGCCTTTAGTGTAACCATGACTGTTGCTGAGTTCTGAGGTATCATGTGAACATGTATGCACATATCCTTATTTTTATGACCCCCCCATTTCAGGCTTATAAACTATATTCCAACCATCTTTCTCAAATACCAAAGAATAAGATTAAGAATATATATTTCACATCTGACTTCCCCAACCCACCCACCTGTTTAGATTTTAATCAAAATAAGTATTTATTTGAGCACCCAAACATATATCAAGCAATGTATTAGAAGATAACAAAGACAGTGAAGACAGTCTTTTTCTTTAAGTAATTCAGTAACCAGATTTATTTTAGTAATTTGGGAAAACAAACATTCATGTTGCATTTTCCTAAAGAATAACAGGTTGATTGAGACTACAAGGTACTAAAGTCAACTCTAGCTATATAAAATTTCACATAGTGATCAAATGAAATACAAAGGTAGTTACCATATCCATACTGAGGCCAGGGACAGATTGGCTTCTGTCTCCCAAGGAGCCACTTTCATGCCCCACATCTTCAGGGCGAAGATCAATCACAGATTTAGTATATTCTGAATAAAAGATCAAAATCTCAAATTAAAAGATACATACTATTCTCCATACCAAGAACCCATTGAGGGTACTGAGAACTTCTATTTCAAAAGGCCATGAAAGAAAAAAAGCTACCTGAAGGCCGGAGGATTTTTCTGGCATTCTTCTTGAATATCATTTCACACTCATTGACAGATATCACATTTCGAACCCCAGGCTGAGTTTCCTAAGAAGGAATAGGACAGGAAATGGAAAATGACAGTTGGATAATTGCAAGTATATAGTACGAAAGGATAGCCTCAAAAAGAACAAGGCTCAGGGAATTGATCCAAGATGGTGGCCTGGTGGAAGTTATACTCACCTTCTCTCAGGACCACATCAAAATTACAACTAAATTATAAAACAATCAACCTGGATTACTATCTAAAAACTAGTTGAACAGAAATCTTATAAGTAATGATATACAGAAGTAGCTACTTCAAGACTGATAGGAAGGGTGGAAATGCAAAAAGGGCTGGCCCTTTGCCCACATATGGAAGTTGAAAATCTGTAGGGATATGTCAGCTGCAGAGTTCCCCCTTGAGGAACAAAAGGTTTCAACCCCATGCTGAGCTTCCCAGCCCAGGACATAAGTACACAGAAGAAGAGCATACATAAGATCTAGTTTTGAAAACTAGAGAGAATTCCATCCACCTGCATGAGGTGGGAAACTGCTGGAAACTCAGGCACTCTCTGAAAAAAACAGTGCACAAAATCTCACTTGCAGGCACTCACCCTGAGCTCCAGGGGAGGGATGGTAGCTCAGAGTGTACCAGCATCATACAGGGAGAAACCAAGTTGTGTGGCTTCAGGGACATGGCTATGGCTAGAGGGACAGCTACCAATGTCCATGTATTGAGACCCTCTCCCACAATGCACATAGAGACCATTGGATCCTGGGTCAAGCACTCCCCTTCATCAGACATCACAAGCCTGGGGCCTGCCAATACCCTTAGGCTCCACCCTGCCAAGATCACACTCAGCTGCGGGCTTTGCCAGCAGCAACCAGCTTGGGCCTGCATTGCAGTCTTTCTTTTAAAATCCTCAAGGATCCCTGCCTGGTGTGGCTTAGTAGATTGAGCATAAACCTGAGAACCAAAAGGTTGCTGGTTTGATACCTGGTCAGGGCACATGCCTGGGTTGCAGGCCAAGTCCCCAGGTGGGGGTGTGCAAGAGGCAACTAGTTCATGTTTCTCTCGCACATTGATGTTTCTATCACTCTCTTTCTCCCTCCCTCCCTCCTCTCTAAAAATAAATAAATAAAATCTTCTTTAAAATTCTCAAGGAATTCCGGGTACTCTCTGTGGCTGTCAGAGACACACAGGGAGAGACTGAGTTGAGTGGTTTTAGGGCAAGGGATGTCTTCCCACATGCTTAAGAGGCACCACCATTCCTGGGAAGAATCACCCTTCTGCAAGGCCAAATCTTAATCTGTTCTAACTTGATGAACTCTACTGCCTTCACTCTGATAACTCCCTTAGACCCAATTCTACCCCAAAGGTTAGGTTGGCAAACCTCAGGCAGGTAGCACCTGACCTTTTCTCCAGAGACTTTTGCTGAGTGGCCTCACACCCAGCACTAGTGCTGAGTTTAAATCTTTGTTAATCTGATGAATACCACTTACACTTACCCGGGGACTAGCTGAGAACATGCACTGCCCGAGGCCTTTCACTACTTGAGACTAACAGGCAGCTGGCAAGTGGGAGCAGGTATTGGAGTGCTTTGAGCCTTGTGCTTACCTGCCCCAGGCCCAGTACTGGTGGCAGCCAGCCTTGCTATGCATCTTGGCCCCACCCATTAGCACCCAGGCCAAAAATAGGCAGCTATAAACCATGGATCACTTTGTAGCTCCTAACAGGTAGGTTAGGGAAGATCACAGGCAGCATCTGGCATTGACCCACAACAGAGTCCCACCTAATAGGCCCCAGAACCAACACACCCAGTGGCTGGCTTCAGACCACATGAGAGCATAACCCAATTAGCTCCAAATGTGGCACACCCAAAGGGAGGTCTTGTCAGGCAACAGACTTGCTAGGGAGAATTCTGCTTCTTGGGGTCAGCCTCCACACAGCAACTCACACAATGTGGTTCAGGTCAATTCTTCACAGTCAGCCAGCCTTAGGGTAAACAACACCAACAGACAGGCCAACAGTAATAAAGACTCAACTACAACAAGAGGGCTCTCATAAACCACACAAGGGACACTCCAGAGTCACCCAGCTCAGGTATTTAGGGAGAATATGCCACTGAACCCAACAATACAGCTACTACATAAGACCATGCTACCAAGACTGGGAGATGTAGCAAATCTACCTAATAAACAGAGACAACTACAGAGAGGCAGCCAAAATGTGGAAACAAAAAATGCAACAAATGAAGGAACAGGAAAAGTCTCCAGAAAAAGAACTAAATGAAATAGAGGTAGGCAATCTACCAAGTACAGAATTCAAAACAATAGTTATAAGGACGCCCAAGGAACTTAGAAGATGAATGGATGAACTCAGTGAGAATCTCAAAAATGAGATACTAAGCACAAGGAAGGACATAGAAACCATAACAAAAAAAAACAGTCAAAAATGAAGAATACATTATCTGGAATGAAGACTATACTAGAAGAAATCAATGACAGATTAGATGAAGCAGAGGTTCAAATCAGTGATTTGGAAGACAAGGTAGCAAAAAATACCCAATCAAAGGATCCAAAAAAAATTTAATGAGGAAAGTTTCATGGACCTCTGAGACAACAGCAAAACTAACAACATCCATATCATCTGGGTACCAGAAGGCGAAGAGAGAAAGTAAGTGATTGAGAATCTACTTGAAGAAATAATGACTGAAAACTTCTTTAACTTAATGAAAAAGATGCACAAGTCTAGGAAGCACAGAGAGCCCCAAATAAGATGAACCCAAAGAGGCCCATACCAAGACACATCATAATTAAAATGGAAAAAGTTAAAGACAACAAGAAAATCATAAAAGAAGTGAGAGAAAGACAGTCAGCTACCTGTAAAGGTTGCCCCCATAAGACTGTCAGCTGATTTCTCAACAGAAACTTTTCAGGCCATAAGAGATGAGCATAAAATATTTAAAGTGATAAAAAAGGACCTGTAATCAAGATTACTCTGCCCAACAAGGCTACCATTTAAATTGGAAGGAAAATGAAGAGCTTTCCAGACAAGAAAAAACTAAAGGAATTTATCACCACCAAACCAGTATTACAAGATATGTTAAAGGGAATTACCTAATAATAATTTTAAAAGAAAAAGGGAAAACATAAATATAAATCATAAAATGTCAGTAAATAGGGACTTTAAATGTAAATGAATTAAATGATCCAATTAAAGACATAGGGTACCTGAATGAATAAGAAAACAAGACCTATATATATGCTGTCAACAAGAGACTCATTTCAGATCAAAAGACATACACAGATTGAAAGTAAAGGATGGATGGAGCTATTTCATGCAAATGGAAATGAAAAAAGCTGGGATATTAATAGTTATATCAGACAAAAGATACTTTAAAACAAAGGCTATAAAAAGACAAAGAAGGACATTATTACATAACAATAAAGGGATCAATCCATAAAATTATCCTTGTAAACATTTATGCATCCAACATAGGAGCACCTAAATATACAAAGCAAATATTGATAAACATAAAGGGTGAGATCAACAGTAATACAGTCACAGTAGGGGATATTAACACCTTGTTGACATCAATTAATAGATTGTCCAGATGGAAAATCAACAAGGAAATAGTGGCCTTAAGTGACACACTGGACCAGATGGATTTAATATTTTCAGAGTGTTTCACCCCCAAACTGCAGAATATACATTATTTTCAAGTGCACATGAAACTTCTTCCAGAATAGACCACATGTTAGGACACAAAAGAAGTCTCAAAAATTAATATGATTGAAATCATATCAAGCATCTTCTCTGACCACAATGGTATGAAACTAGGAAGCAATTACAAGAAAAACATGAAAAACACACAAACACGTGGAGATTAAATAAGATATCACTAAACAATAAATGGGTTAACAATGAGATCAAGGAAGAAATCAAAAGATGCCCTGAGACAAATAAAAATAAAAATGCAACAACCCCAAATCTATGGGACACAGTGAAAGCAGTCAGTCCTAAGATGGAAATTCATAGCATTACAGGCCTATCTGAAGAAAAATCTCAAATAAACAATCTAACACCAAAAGGAAATAGAAAAAGAACAAAGTCCAGAGTGAGAAGGAAAAGACAGAAAACTGCCCTTGAACAATTAAAATTTAAAAAGTTATCAAAAAAGAAATTAACAATCATAGTGGAAATAAATGAAATACAGCCTAAGAAAATACAGCTTTGTGCCAGTGTATGCTGCTGAGTAAGTATCATTGAAGTCTCCTCTCCTGTAGTCATCATGTCTAAGTCAGAGCCTCCCAAAGAGCATAAGCACTTCCAGAAGCTCTTTATCAGAGGTTTGGGTTTTGAAACAACCAATGGGAGTCTGAGGATTGAATATGAGTAATGGGGAATGCTTAAAGCCTGTGTAGTAATGAGAGATTCAAAAACCAAGTGCTCCAGAGGCTTTGGGTTTGTCACCTATGCCACTGTGGAGGAGGTGGATGCAGCCATGAATGCAAGGACATATGAGGTAGACGGAAGAAGAGTTGTGGAACCAAAGAGGGATGTCTCAGGAGAAGATTCTCAAAGACCTGGTGCCCGATTAACTGTGAATAGATTTTTGTGAGTGTTATTAAAGAAGACACCAAAGAACGTCACCTGAGAGATTATTGTGAACAATATGGGAAAATGGAAGTGATTGAAATCATGACTGAATGAGGCAGTGGCAAGAAGAGGGGCTTTGCTTTTGTAATCTTTAATAATCATGACTCTGTAGACAAGATTGTCATTCAGAAATACCATAATGATCTTAATTTCAATGCCTCTGGTTATATTTTGCTTGCTTACTTGTTTTGTTGATTAGGTTCCACTTATAGGTAAGATCATATGGTATTTGTCTTTCACCACCTGGCTTATTTCACTTTGCATAATGCAGAACAAACTGACAATAACCAGAAGGGATAATGGGTAAAAAGGGGAAAGGGTTTTCAGGAATATCTATAAAGGACACATGAAAAAAACCAAAGAGAGGTAGGATCAAGGGTGGGAAGTGGGGATGGCTGGGGAG